AGTAATAATAACACAATATAATAATATACACCAGTAATATTGTAAATATTGATAATATAATGCCATACAATACTAATAATAGCACAATATAATAAAATACATGTATTATTACTAATAATATTGCAATATAGTAGTATAGTACAATATAATAATATATAATACTAACATTGTGCTAGGCTAATAATATAATATATATATTGTGTGTGTGTATATATAATATTGATATTATAATGTCACACAATATAATACTAATAATAATATCGCAATATAATAATATACAGCAGTAATATTGTAATATAGTGCCAATCCTTCCTAAACCTGCCCAAGGCAGGCAGAGGCAGCTCCCTTGTTTACCTAGGCAGTCTCCATGGCAACGGCCGGAAGCACCTCCCCCGGAAGCGGAAGCGCGGCTCAGAGAAGAAGGAGAGAGAGAGGAAGGAAGAAGGAGAAGGCGGCCTCGTTGGAAGGGAAGCCCAAGAGTTGGGAAGAGGAACGTGAGGATGGCTGCCTGCCTCTGACGCGTGTTCTGAGGGGGATCCTGGTGAGGAGGAGGAGAGGGAGGAAGTAGATATGCTTCTGTCCAAAAAATGGGATGGGATAGTCCTGATGTATTCCCAGCTGGAAGTCCTCCCTCCAAGGATTCTCCCTATGCCAGGATTGGAAGGGGTTTTGCTTCCCTTGCATTATATATTATCAGTAGAGATATATCTATCTATCTTTTAGTGGGGAAGGATTTTATATATGTGTGTGTATGTGTGTGTATACTAGCGGTCCCCTGCCATGCGTTGCTGTGGCCCAGTCTTTTGATCTGGAAAATAAAGTAATGAGAAAGTGTTTTGTTTTCTAATATATGTAATGTCTTTCTGCTTGTGGGCAAACACTATTTCTTGCTGTTAGTTTGTCAGTGTTGATGTGGAGAGTGTCTGGGTTGCCTCCTCTGGAACATGCAACATATAATTCTCCTTCTTTAGGGGTCCCTTTCAAATCTATGATACTGCATCTATCATATACATATGTGTGTGTGTATGAATGGCTGGATGGCCCTTTGTAAGGAGGGCATTGATTATGTTTTCTTGCCCTGGTGAAGGGAGTTGGACTGGATAGCCTTAAGGCAGCATTTCTCAACCTGGGAACTCAAGACCCCGGAGGGGGGTCACCAGGGGGGTGTCAGAAGGGTCATAAGAGACCACCAGAAAACATAGAATTTTCTGTTGGTCATGAGGGTTCTATGTGGGAAGTTTGCCCCAATTCTGTCATTGGTGGGGTTCAGAATGCTCCTTGATTG